AAAATTAAGTCTTTAAGTCTCCTCAAAAACATGCTGGACTTGCATGTTCTCTGCCCTTAATGGAAGAATCTTAAAATATTTAGTAAAGTGCTCCCTCTTCCTCCTTTTCCGCTAATAGCCCTTTTCTCCTGGAGCAGCAGGAGTGAGCAGGGCCCTAGCAGCCTTGTGTTTGTGCTACAGGAGGGAAGAGACACAACCTTTCATTCGGACATTTATTTGTTTCTTAAGTAGGCATTGGTATGGCATTTCCCTGTGGATTTATCCATTAGGGTTGTGGAGCTGCTGAAGAGAGTCCAGCGCAGGGCTATGAGGATGATCAGGGGCCTGGAACATCTGCCCTATGAGCAAAGGCTGAGAGAGCTGGGYCTGYTCAGCCTGGAGAAGAGRAGGCTGAGGGGGGACCTGATSAGYGTGTATAAATACCTCAAGGGAGGCAGTGAGGAGGAGGGGGCGGCCTCTTTTCAGTGGTGGACAGTGACAGGACTAGAGGAAACAGCCACACACTGAAGCACCAAAAGTTCCACAGGAGCTTAAGGAAACACTTAACAGTGAGGGTGACAGAGCCCTGGAACAGGCTGCCCAGAGAGGTTGTGGAGTCTTCTTCTTGGAGATTTTCAAAATCCGCTTGGACGCAGCCCTGTGCCATGTGCTGTAGGTGACCCTGTGTGTGCAGGGGGTTTGGACTAGATGACCTCTGAGGTCCCTTCCAACCTTAAGCATTCTGTGATTCTGTCTTTGAGGATTGTTCTGCCCGCTTGGATGTTAGGTTGTTGTGAAAATATTGCAGTTTGAAAGCCGTAGTGGTGTGGGGGGGAAGGAGATATCAAATTAGTATTGGATTCACAAACAGTCTATGGACTGTAGGTCTGATTGCCTTCCTAGGAGTGAATTGAGTTCCCAAATAGCCTGATCAGCTATAAGCTCAGTTCTGTCAGTATCGGATTCACGAACAGTCCGTAGATCGTAGGTCCGATCACCTTCCTCCAAACAAGTAGTCGAGTTCACAAACTGTGATTTATTCAAATGCGACATTTACAAAGCAGGATTCGGATGTCAGTACAGGAAATTCTCTACTACAGTGTGGGGATTTTTAGCTAGCTCTGCTGTACAAATGTGCAATCATCACTCACMCCAGAAGATAGGAGAGGGCTCTCAGTCTCRAGTCTCCTCAGGYGGCATCTCAACCCGAGGGGAGGGAAGGGGGATCAGCCTGTCGACTGACCSRAGAGTAATGATGGATTCTTCCCTTTCAGTTGTTAGTCTTCTCAGGCGATGTTCCAGTCCGAGGGGGGGAAAGAGGAATCAGCGCGTCGACTGACTCAACAGTGATGGTGGTTTCTTCCCCCCCAAGTTCTTAGTCTTCTCAGGTGGTGTCTGAACCTGAGGGGAGGGAAGGGGGATCGGCGCATCAGCTGTCCCAAGAGTTACRATGGAATCTTCCCCCCTCAGTTCTTAGTCTTCTCAGGCGGCGTCTCAGCCYGAGGGGAGGGAAGGGGGATCTGCCCCACAGCTGATCCAGGAGTGATGGTGGTTTCTTCCCCCCRAGTTCTTCATCCTTAGTTCAGCTTTTATACTTTTCTTTACATTCAGGTGGAGCTTGACTCTAGTCACTACTAGAGTCATACTTAATATTGTTATTGATTGGTAAAAAAGTTTCTCGCTTTCATTTAAAGATACAATYGATCAAAAATCTAGAGCGCATGCTCAGTGAGGGGTGGTCGTACCTCGGAGGCGGGTAACTTTTGGGATGGAGGTGTGTTTTGGCATTATAATGAGTGCATAACAAGCAAAGTTCAAGCAAAGTTCATCYGAAAGGAGTGATTTGCCACTTTTCTGGCTCAGCASYGGACTTTTTATTGTATATCTCTCATTGGACRGCTGCTGTGTGGCTTAGCAGCAGCCCAGCACAGGGAGTGTAACAGAGTTTGGCTGCGGGGTCTTCWCTCTGCTCCATCCTCCGTTACTCCCCTTTGCAGCTGCAAGGAGGGCAGATTGTGTTGCCCAGGCAGCTGTGGAGGAGCTGAGTCCGTGCGTACCAGCCATCCTGGAAGTGGCAACTGTGTCTCAGCCCAAGCAAGCTTCTGCAGTGCCAAAACTTYTCTTAGSCCCTAGTTTTCCAAACAATTCTTCCACATAGGTGCACTTTGCCAAGTTACACGAAYTGAAGAAGTTCTTGAAAGGCCTCTTCTGCCTGGCTGAAGAGGCAACACTTGCAAAGTGCTTGCTGGAGCCCAAGGAGGGCTCCTTCAGCCAGAGCCAACCGYGCGAGCGATGGCTTTGTGGAATCCACCTGCTGCCACAACGGGCTGCGGAGCTTCTCGGCGCGCTGTGGAGCTGCTCAATGTGCTGCGGCTGCCCTTACAGCGACCGCCGCGTCTCTGCTGGCCTCCACAGCCCTGGAGGACCTTGAGGAGCTGGGGTTCCAGCTCCTGAAAGGGGAGGGTGAAAGGGTGAAAAAGAATGATTTTTATCTTCCTCTTGCTCACAGCCTGCGTGTTATGTAGGAAAACTTTGGATGAAGGATGGATTAATTGCAAAGAACGTTGAGGAATTCACTTCCCCTTGCTGTGCAGCATGTTTATTGGCAGCAAAGTTTTGAGGTGATCTCTCTTGATGGTCGCTCCTTTTAATAGTGCACCCAATATTAGTATTATTGCCTACTCCTTGTTTTGCAGTAGATTTTAAGCTTTCTTTGCCTCCCACTCATGTATCAGGTTTCACATGAACTACAGTGGAGAGGAAAACTTTACTCAGCCTTCTGGCAATCACCCACTTAGGGACTTCCATTTGCCAGTCATCAGCACAACGTGCATTGCAGAAGTACATGCAAATGAATGTTATGCAAACTCTTATTTTCTAGGTGCTCTAAGTTAAGCTAGGCACATTCTTTCCAACTTGTGTGCATTTTTCTTTAGCAAAAATACTAAGTTGGGGCATGTGTGATGTTTCCTCACTGCATAATCTGCAAACATACTAGGAGGAACAGACAGGTTCTCTGTAAGCTGCTGGTAACTTGTAGGTAACCTATGTGTGATGCAAGGGTGTGAGTCTGCTGTCAGCTGTCCAAAGTTTAGTAGTGTCAACATTTTACTTCCCCAAAAGCATTCTTCCCAGATCAGATTATTATCCTCAAAAGAAAAATCAAACAACAGCAACAACAAACCCCTCTCTCCAGAAGCCGTTCTGCATAATCCCTCTTTCTGCACCAGGTCCTGGAAGCAGATGTAAAAACTTCTGTGAAGGTGGATGGGTTTTTGTCTTTTCAMTGTGTTGAATGTCAGTGAACACTTGTAATGTCTACCTTCTGAGCACACCCTTGCTGCACAAACAAGGTTTTTTGTTTGTTTTATTGTATTTTTTTAACCTCTTTTCCTTACAAGGCAATCCTTCAGATCCACAAAGTGAACCAGATCTTACTTAGATCTTGTAGAAAAATGGACTTGTCTCTAAGTTGAAATAGGAGCTGGAGAGTTTGAGGTGAGGAAGGGAATAGAACTTGCTCTATGTGTGTGTGTTGTTATTGCAGAAGCAATCATTCAACTCTTGAAGTGTTTGAGAAGAATAACTTGGATATCAGTAAGTTTTTAAAGTCTTCTGTTTTAGCAGATGCTCTAAATTACGTAGAAATCTTATCATATAATAGCAATTAATTACTATTAGATTTTTCTTTTTGAAGGTACCACTGCATGATAAGTTTGGGTAAAATGCACAGGCTTCTGTGCTTCTTAAGGATTTTTCTTTTTGCAGATCTTAGAATTTTTCCCTCTCCTGAACAGGATGAGCTTTGTAAACTTTGTTTGCTTTCCCTCTTACCTTTTCCTGCTCCTTCCTTCTGTGCTTTGGGTGTGTGGGCTTTGATTTGTTGTTTTTTCCTTACTGCCAGCTAGTTTCTGTGCTAAAAGTGTCCAGAGCAGAGTACACTTAACTAGTTGATGCTTTTTCAAAACGTAGTGTTAAAAGCTAAGAGAGAGAAGTGGGATGCTAAGCTATTAATCCATGTGCTGACAGATAAATGTTGACAAATCGATGCACTGAGAGATGAGTGAGGAGGAGGGGGCCGGCCTTTTTTCAGTGGTGGCCACTGATAGGACTAGAGGAAACAGGCGCAAACTGAAGCGCCAAAAGTTCCACAGGAAGTKGAGGAAAAGTTTCTTAACAGTGAGGGTGACAGAGCCCTGGAACAGGCTGCCCAGAGAGGTTGTGGAGGCTCCTTCTCCGGAGATGTTGAAAACCCGCCTGGATGCCACCCYGTGCCCCGTGCWGGAGCAGGGGGATTGGACTAGAGATGATCTCTAGAGATYCCTTCCAACGTTAAGGATTCTGTGATTCTGTGCACTTGCTGCACCCCCTTTCCCTGTGCTTTCCACCTCTGCACCAGTGTCGGCCGGAGGGTAAACGTGGTTACCCTTGTCACCAGCCTGCGTGAGGGAGCTGCTTCTTTCCTTCCCTCGTCCCTGCTGTGAAAGGGGTGACCCCTGGCAAGGGGCAGGTTGCTGGCGGGCTCCAGCAYGGGCAGCGAGGATGTGGGTGCTGCTCGTGCCACCGCCGCTCTCGCTTGGGCCAAACAGAGCGCTCGATAGGCTCCTTGGTGTCTGTCTGTGACCGGGCCTGTGGTGCTGCGTGTGTGGCCGTTCACCTGCACCGTGCTTCTGGTGTTGCTGTTCAGTAATTGCTGAAGGTAAGAGCGCTTCGTAATGATTTAAGAGTGCAGCTGGAGCAGAGACTTGGATTTCTCTAGTGAGATGGGCCACTATTACTAGTGTCACGTTACAGGAAAGCTAGTCAGGCCTTCGAGGTGCTTACTGCATTTGTAAGAGCTGTGTAACTGGGAACTTGAGATCAAGCTGCTGCCCCTAAACCAAACCAGCCAAGTGCTGAATGCACTCACAGCCTGTCAACAAGGGAGCAAGGGCTTCAAGAACAAAGTAGGTAATTCATGCATTTTTGTTTTTATCAACACTTTCTTAATTCTGGTCTCYTCTTTGTCTCCTATAACGTAGGTAAACAATGCCAGCGATCCATGGTCAAGCTGGAACGCTGGGAAGTCTGGGAAATGGGATAATGGAAACGCTGGCGATAGCTGGGCGACAAAGCCTGACAGCGCGGCGGGACGGGGGCACAGTGCCTCAAACAACTGGGAAGCAGAAGCAGCATTTGGTCATCCACAGGCTTATCAAGGACCAGGTGGGCTAATGCTTTCACTTTTGAATAAATTGGAACAGGAGAGCAATAGATGTGGGAACTGCCTAACCTTTCTTAACTACRGGATGGGTTTTATAAAACCGGAAAACTTATTAGTAGCAAATCAGCATGTGGGAAAATTGTCTACTAGTTAGAGGGGGGAAGAAAAAGTTCACATGATCTACAATGGCACACGCCTCAAACCTGTGTGGAGATTTTGCGCATCGGTCTTGTGCATGAGTCAATTCCCAGGCATGTTCAACAGGTATGACAGCTCTGAAAATATGCACCCATAAGTTTGTGCCATTAGGCCTGTAAAGAAGTGGTCTCTAATCCCCAAATCCAAAGGCCTGGCCTGCCTTTTGGAAGGCTTCCCTACTGTTTTGTGGTGAGGCCTAAACAAGGAGAACGGGTGATGGCTAACCTGGACTGCATGAATGTGGAGCACCACTGAGTTCATTTTAACACACCAGCGTTTTTCTCCCTCAGTGGATTTCTGGTGTAGGGTTTTGTAAGCTGTATTTTAGGAGGCCACAGGAGAGGGAATAACTAAAGAATCAAAAAATGCAAGACTGAACTAGCACATAGTCTCCTCACCTTGATGATTTGTGCCTGAGGTGACTGCTTCCGCTTTGATAACAGAAAACATTGAACTTTCTTTTTTTTCTTTTTTTTTTTTTTTTCTTTTCCCAGCAGCTGCCGATGAGGATGATTGGGATGATGACTGGGATGACCCAAAATCGGCCTCACCATCTTATCTTAGTTACAAGGAGACTGAGTCGACAGAGGCTGGGGGGCCCCAGCGAGCAAACTCTCGTGCAGCTGCTATGAAGTTGCCTCTTAACAAGTAATGCGGGACAAATGTGTATGCACTGAGGAGAATTGGAATTTGAGTTGCACAAGTGTGTTCCCATCCAGCCTACCTGAAATATGCAATGGAAATATTACAAGTTTGGGGTGAATGTGGAGATGAGTTTGTAGTTCAGCATTGTCTCTAAGTGATCAGAGAACATAAATCCATGAAAGGCCTRGAGTACGTGACATAACTGGATGTTCTTGGAGGCTTAACATACAGTCAAATGATGCTTTTATAGGAGCTGAGCTTCTGATCCTATTATTTAAAATTTAGTAGCCTTTAGCACTCTGTGTACTTAGTGGAATGATGGGTGATGTATGGCTTGCCAGGTAGCAAAGCTGCCCAAGTTTCACTGCCTATTTGAGCTGCTAGAAGTGGGAAATATTTTTGCTATCATGTGCAACTTCCTAAAATTTGTCTGTTGTAYGTACTATTAGTCTGAGAAACTACTAGGCAGTAATGACTTGAGTGAAAGAACAGAAAATGACAGTAGAATAACTGGCTCCTTAGGTTGCAACTTAAAGGCCTTGTCATGCAGGGATAGACTTTATTCATCAGGGGAGGTTTTGTCCTGTTTTGCAGCAGTGTTGCTGCATCACTGTGCCATCTACTTGTTGGAAATCCATATAGCAATGGCCAGCATGAACGTACCTCTTTCAGGAGCATAATTCTTCTTAAGCTGTACTTAACTTCAAATATTTTTATAAGGAAACAGTAGACTGGCAGTTTATTGAGGGCTTAAGTGTCCTAAGTAGAAAGAGAACCACTTTTAGTTTCCTGCAAGCTGTTCTCTGTGGACTTGCAGGGCATTATAGTGTTTCTGTTGCCTTTTTTTTCCGTTTTTAATTGATAAATTATTTATCCTCACTCAGGTTTAGAAGCATGTAATGAATTTATAATCCATTATTCTCTCAGATGATTGAATTCTCATTTGAAATAGGAAGGGATGTGTGTTTATATGCAGGGAGTGGGCTTTGSAGTAGCAGATACTGCTGCATGTCCTGTTGTCATGTTTGTTCTGATGGGCTGCAAGCACAAATAGCTACTGTGCACTGTAAAACGCCTGTATTGCACAAATACAAGCTGGAGATCTGTAGCTTAAGCTTGTCTGCTTTTGGGGGGAGGCAAATCAGTAATTCTAAATCCACACTTAGCACAGATTTCACATAGGATAATTCTTCTCTGCACTTGAAAAGTGCTAAGATATATTAAAGTATGTTTACTTAATGTATCTGGAGATTCTGCACAAGGAGGAGGCATGAAGAGYAAATTGATTGCTTGTTTTTCTTTTTTTTTTTTTTCTATATATATGGATATTAGATTTCCTGGATTTGCAAAACCGGGAATGGAGCAGTATCTGTTGGCAAAGCAGCTAGCAAAACCCAAAGAGAAAATTCCCATAATAGTAAGTGCATGTATTTGGTTTTGTTTGTTGTTGTTTCCCCCATTCCTTGCCTTTTCCCTACCTTAACTTTTAGCCTCAGAGTCTTTCACATGCATCTGGATCAGAAGAAACTGGTAAACTCCTGCAGAGCATACAGRTAGAAACAGAACTATCCTAAGAAAACTGTATGCCATTTAAACCTTTTAATTCATGGTAGACCACATTTCTGAACCCGTACTACTGGGAGATTTTTTCAGGGTTGGGTATTAACTCCTTGTTTATTCCAAGTGTGCTGGGGATCTTTTTTTTTTCTTCTTTTTAATACAACTTTTCTCGTGCTGAGCAAGTGATCTACATTGTTTGTGATCATAAAAATGAACCTTACTGGGAGCGGATGCATATGCTGTCTAGCAACTATCTTGRTAGTTACCTTATCAGAGGACCTGCATTCATAAAAGTCTGCAGTGTCAGATCACTTTGTGATCTAATTAATAGGCTGTTCTTGACAGTTGCTCTTCTAGTGAAAGGTGTATGTAGCAATCTGCAGGAGTGTCTGCCTCCCAACAGTCCACTGCTCCTGTATCCTTATAGGAGAAACCTGGTAGGAGCAGATCCTAAAGAGAGATCTGGTTTTAATCTCTGGMGAGATTTGGATTTATTGACTCTCAAACTCACCAAAATCATCAGGAATTTTCTAATGGAGCGAGCTCGGATCTCTGTTTTCAAAATGGGCTGCTTTCACATAAACATTTGTCGTCTTGTTTGCACCTGGTATGACACGATGTATTTATAATAATTGTATTTGCAATTCTTGACAGATTGGTGATTATGGCCCAATGTGGGATTATCCTTCCTCTACGTTTGACTGTGTGGTGGCAGATCCCAAAAAAGGTTCCAAAATGTATGGTCTCAAGAGCTACATTGAGTATCAGCTGACCTGCACTGTAAGTGTTCTCTGAAACAGGATATTCTGTCTTGTAGATAGAGGTAACCTCTATGTATAAATAATATAGCTCCTGTAAATTACTAATTAGATTGTAACAATAAATGATAGCTGTAACTTTTTTTTAATTATTTTTAAAAAAGCGTTAAGGTTTGTTTCCTTTCCCATTTTTAATCCTTCTGTCATTACAGAAAGTAACTAATAATTACTGTGTAGAGCCTTAAAGCTAAGTCTGCTGTTTTGAACACCCTTACCTCAGATGACWTCTACGTAGGCGATGCCTGTTAAAATTCAGAGTTGTGCTTCTTTTACAGAACACTAATCGGTCTGTCAACCACAGATACAAGCACTTTGACTGGTTATATGAGCGTCTCCTGGTTAAGTTTGGGTTAGCCATTCCAATCCCCTCTCTTCCAGACAAGCAAGTAACAGGTAAGCATTCACAGCCATGAATTCATAAGATGGATTTATAGACATCCTTTTTGTGCGTAATTCCACTAATTCTTACTGTTTTCATTTTCTTCATTATGTTTAGAGAAGTTATATGAGAATCTTTGGAAAATTTGGAATTGATGATGAGATGTGAGGGTCTGTTGCCACAGACATAGCCATAAAATAGCATTGTCACCAGCCACACATTTCAGAACTTGAGTTTAGTCCCCTAGTCCAGTGATTGGAAAAATCCAGTGATTAAGAAAAAAATACACATTATTGGAGAGATGTTTGTTTTTGCTTGTGTTTGCTGATAGTCTGGAGAACTGGTTTCATTTCTTTTGTATTTTCTGGAGGAAAGGGAAGATCCTGGTCCCTGACAAATGTTTTTGTTTTCTTGYAACAAAAAGATTGCAGCTGTTTTTCCTGAAACTTGGTTAAAAAGCATCTTTCATTGGTATAATTTTCTGCTGCATTTAATATAAGTTCAGCTTGATCAAACTCTCTGAATGGGAGAGTGGGATTGAATTCCTCAACATTCATGAGTCCAGGCATTGCACTGAATGTCTGAGAATATATTTGCTTTTTCAGTGGCCTGTGGCTCCCCTTTTACAAGAATATGGTAGTGTGTGTGTGCAGAGAAGATTGGATACTTGTGTAGGAGGAAAATGCATTACTTCAGGCTGTCTCCACTTGTGTGTTTTCTGATACGATTTTTTTACACAGTATTTAAGAAAATCAGACCCAAAAAAGCACAAAAGCTGGCATGTAGCCAGCCATGTGTCTGTGGGCATCACTAAAAATGCAGCAGCTCTGCTGTGTTTGAAGAAAGCTGAGCATTGATGCAAATGCTGGGATAAATGCCGAGGAAACTGAAAAGTGAGGAAGTGACTTCCTCCCTTTAGCTAGCCTCATAGTTAGAATTCACCAGTATTTTTACTTAAATGCGTGCGTATACACTGAAAATGTAATTGGAATACCCAGGGGGGTCTCCAAGTTTCATTGTAGCTGTATCATAAAAGACTGGAGTTTCACATCTCAATTAAACCTTGCTGGTGGATTTCTGTTTTGGATACTATGGGAGAAGCTGATCTGTTAGTCTCCTGCCAAGAAAAAAAAGCTAAAAAAAGCTTCTTTTTTTCCTTATTTTTTTCCCCCTTTTTTCTTTTATTTCCCTCCTCCCCTTCTCTCTTTTTGAAATGTTAGAAGCAGCTCCCTTTGAAAATGTTATCGCGTATCTTTGATTGTGTTTGGGAGGCTTCTTTCTGAAGCCTGTCTAGGAAGGTCTTTTAACTCTAAAGTCATGGGAAGGCAGAATTCCATGCAAATAGAGTGACTGTGCTCGGAGAAGGATCACAATTTTGCTGGTGGCCGTGTGCCTAGGGACGAGATTACAAGTTCTGAGTGTTCCTGTTGCCTTTCAGTCGCTGCTGCAGTTTCCGTATAGGTCAAGGGACAAGGTACAAGGGTGGGTTCTGCTCATTCCTGTACAGTATTTGTTTTGCTGGCTGAATTGCAGGGAGTGTGCAAACAGTGTCCCTGTTTCCAGGGAGTGTGCTCACGCCAACATCTAAGTTTGCATTGATTGTATATGGCAGCTTCCTACTTGCAATTAAAATAAAAAAGTGGGGAGGAGGTTCCCTGGTGGTTGGGGTTCTGGTCCTCCGAGATTCCCTCGGAGCTGCTGCCGCAGTAACTACCCAGTGGGGTTGTACTGGGAGAGTGGGTGTAGTCAGGGATTGCCTTCCACCCTGCTCTGGGAACAGCAAGGAATCTTTCTGTCATCTTCCAGACCCATCCTATTTACTGCACACTTTGGAAGTCCGTTGTAGTGCATGTCTTCTTGCATGCTTCTCTTGAAGACCTATTTTCTGCCAAAATTAGAAGATTCTTATAAATACAGYGGTTAAAACGGTACTGGTGGAAATGTTTCTTTTTATTACTTGCAGTAACAGTTTGTTAACTACAGAAGGAATCCGTTTTTGAGTCTTACTTGTATGCTCTTCAGTCTACACTTMTGATTTATTAAGTTTTTTCGTTATTTTTCTGACATTATTTACCTATAAAGAACTATATTTATGGGCGGCATTGCTTTCTTTGAATCTGTCGTTTGTGTTTGAGCAGAGTAGAGTTTTGGATGCTTTGTAAGCTAGGATAYGACGAATTGGTGGCTAGGACTTGATGGTCGCTTTCCCTAAGTCTTCTGTGCATCATCTTGCCCAAAGGACTAAGTAAACTGTACCCGTAAGACGTCTGCCTTCTGAGCCGCAGGTTTTCTCYTCCCCTGAAAGCAATACCTTGTTTTTCATCCAGATGTGCTCCTTTGCTTCCTATCCCCTGCAACTGATCTAAATTGCGTATGGAGGTTGGAGTGACTGTCTTTAAAAGGGGCAATTCTCTCTGCAGTAATCAGAAAACCCTTAAAGAACAGTATATTAATTCATTCTGATAATGTTCATTTAAATTCTGTACATGTTTTAATATCTCCCCAGATAAATCCCAGATTCTGTTTTGATTAAACAAAATATAAACCAAACCCCCGAGGCTAATCGAGTGGAAATGTAACTGTCCTTGTTCAATCCTTGTTCCATGTGTTCCAGGGCGCTTTGAAGAGGAGTTTATCAAAATGCGTATGGAGAGGCTGCAAGCCTGGATGACAAGGATGTGTCGCCATCCTGTTGTTTCAGAAAGTGAAGTTTTCCAGCAGTTTCTCAATTTCCGAGATGAAAAGGTAGGAAATRGTGTTCGTGCAAAAAGATGGGTCGCAAGGAATTGTTTCCCAAAACAATCTTTGCTTTCAGATAGGAATTCAGTTTTGTAGTCTACTGCTTTGCCTGTCCCCCAATAGGCAGTAATGAAGAGCCGCAAAATGCTGAATTTAGTAGATTTAACTCATTGATTAAAATGAGAAACAAACTTTCTGAAATGTTATTTGCTACCATAACAGAAGTGGGCCTCTTTAAAGCAATTTTGTTTTCAGTACTGTTTTGTGTACCATTTTCCTCCACTAAAGAAAGAAAAATTATAAGAATTCCTGGCTGTTGCTTTGATCCAGCTCAGCTGGTTTTGTTATACTACAGTACTCTGGTACAGCTTTGCTAGCTGTTGTCTTACCTGATAACTATCCCTCTTCAATTTTCCTGCTACACACCACTTTCCTGCATGATTTTCCAGAAGTTTAATATCTTCACCATCTGTATATATATTGGTATATTGKCTTGTCCATGATTAAGATCCTATCTATTTGGGTATCTAGTAGTGACGAAAGGACAAGAAAACTCTGTTTTCATCACACATACTCTTAACTACACACAGATTTGGCTTGAGAAATACACCGATCCTTGGAGGTTTTCAAGATCTGACTGAGGACCTTGGTTTGATCTCTTGGTTTGATCTGCTGAGCAGGWGTTTGGACCTCCTGAGGTCCCTCCYTACCTGAGTTTTCTGTAATCCTATAAGTAAGGGCTTAGTGGCATAGTAATAAACTATGGTCTGAGTGAGGTATTTGGATGGCCAAAGTTGTGTAACTCAACTAGCTAGTCAGTTGTTTGTAGGATCTAACTAACTTACAGGCTGATGTAAACAGAACTGATGTTGCAATACATCTGGAATTTTAACCTTTTCTTTTTAATTTCCACTAAGAATTTAATATGACTGTTGAGTAATAGTCTTATGATCTCCTGGACTAGCTTCTAATATCAGCCCTATCACATGTGTAAATAAAGCTGAATAAAATTGCCTTTCTGTATCTTTACAATATACAAGTAATTCACGAGAAGATTCTGTTCATTGTAGCATCTAGAAAACAAAGTGCACAAGAAAATGGGAGGGCAACTCTAAAACTTTGATTCCACTGAAACTATTTAAAACTAAAAGGCTTTAACTTGTAGACTCTTGCTTAGTTGTTCTAGAAGCTTCATTCACTGTTCAGGTCTGTATATTTAAAGGTGGATGAATACCAGTGGTCACATTTTTGTTTTGTTTTGTTTTCCTCAAGGAGTGGAAAACAGGAAAGAGGAAGGCAGAGAAAGATGAGACTGTCGGAGTTCTGATCTTTTCTACAATGGAACCAGAAGCTCCAGACTTGGACATGATAGAAATGTAAGGCAGTATTTTCTTGTTGCATGAATGTTATGCCTCCATATTGGCAATATAAACTAAATTAGAATTATAAAACTGAGTAACAAGGGGGCATGCATGTACGTTTTCGTAATWCTGAAGAGATACTTGCTAAAGTGGCTATGAATAATGGGCATCTTTTTGTGCAAGYTGCCAAGAGGGAAGAATCACCCAAGGGTATTGATATTACTGCACATGCAGTGCTATATTGATGGAAAGTTTTGGTACTGTCAAAGTATATTAATTTATGCATATACATTTCCATAGAGGAACTGGTCTGTTACATTTTATTCACTTACTTTAGACTTAAATGCRTATGTGGAACAATTTTGTTATTCATTGTTATGAATTTTTATTACTTCTGCAATTTTAACATTTACTTTTCTGTCAATGTGACATCCTTTTACATGTATTTAGTGCTCTAGGTATGCACTTGCTTCTTCTGTTGTTATATGAATCCATTGCAGGATATTTATTTAATAGCCTTGTTTAAGGAAAGTCACTATAGTAAGAGTGATWATCCTGGTTTACACATTTCCTAATAGATGAAAAATAGCGTGGTAAGTGCCTGGATCAGAAGAAGAAATTTCCCTGACATGGGAATTGGTAGMGATTTCCTGAAATTCACTCATTTCTGTGATTCTCAAACATAGTTGGCACTCCTAAATATTTCAGTTGTGTGTTTAGAGCTAGGCTAAACTAATAGATTTGTTTAAACTGGTTTTTGCTTTTACTTTTTCCAAATGCCACAGAGAACAGAAGTGTGATGCTGTGGGTAGGTTCACCAAAGCGATGGATGATGGTGTTAAAGAGCTCCTGACAGTGGGACAAGAGCACTGGAAACGGTGTACAGGACGTAAGTGATTGAGTAGTGATTTCTCTATACCTTTTTTCTTTTTTTTTTTAATATATGCAACTCAAGGCACATCTTAAAACTCAAGGAAATTCTAAATTGTCATGAGGTTTGTGTGCCCTTTGGTCTGTTTTCATTGTCTGAAAGTAGAGAGCGCACAACTCTTCACCTACCCTTTATTTTTCTCATGATGGATAACTTTTTCTTGTCTGTGTTTTAAAATCATTGAAGTTAAGTAGTTCTAATCATCCAGGTAAAAATCCTTGCTGGACCTGTTCTGATAATGCTTGTCATTCATCTAGACTTCAAAATGGGCAAAGTAATCTTCTTCATCAAATTATAAATGGTTACATTTTATTAACTCATTTTTTAGGATTCTTGCATGCCAGGAGGAATGATTTAAAGGTGAAACGAGACTTTATTTTAAATAAATAAATACATGAGAGAGAGAGAGAGAGAGATTTGAATCTAATTTATTCTTTAGCCCAATTCTTTTTCTCCTATCTTGTCTCTTCCTTCCTACAGATATTTAGGGTTGCAGAACTTCACACCAAGTCCCTATGTCTCTGCCTGGGCTCTAGCTTCCTAGTCCACAGCAGTGTTCAGTGTTTGTGGCCACCACAAGGCAGCTATTGAAAGGAAGCAGGTACTACAGCTGAAGATTATAATAATAAACAGTTTAGGGCAGGCTGTAGTGTCTGGCTCCCAAAGGCCTATCACACAAATCTCTTCAAATTTCATCTTTTTTTAAATTTGAAGTTTACCACTTCATATCATTGACGCTTCTGCTGCTAAGGTCAAAAACGGTCTAACCTGGAGTCTGCTCTGCCACAGGACTCTAATTTTGTATGGCTTTCATTTAGGTAGCAATTGAGACTGAGGAGAAAGCAGCAGATGGAGAAGGAGCAACATCCCTCAGAAACAACGTTCTGAATAGTGCTGCTGTGCAGTTTTGCAGAGCAAGGGAGATGAGAACTCCTCAAAAGCTGTCCCGTTAAACCTATGGTAGAAATGTAGTATTTTGTTTGCTACTAAAATGCAACACAGTCTCTCCATGAGGGAATGACATTAGTGCTTTGGGTGTGTAAAATTACTCTTCTAACAATTTATCACTATTAGCCAGTGTGAACGCAACAAATCAGATGTGATAATGACTTTGGTAGTCAATTATACATGTATGACATACCATATATATTTTACTCTCCCGTCGACACAAGTTCTAACTCCTAGYGAGTAGCTGAAATCACACAGGAAGTGCCAAAAAATAAGTTGATTCTGTTTCGTAATATTTAAAAGGACTGACAATCAAAACTTCTTAAATGCAAGTAAAGAAACACATTTTTCATAGGAGTTCCTGCTGGGGATGCTTATAACAGAGCTTTAGTATTCTAACACATACCTATTACTTAAAATATATCAGTTGTCATAAGAAGGAAAAAAAAATTCCCCCAAAAACATCTAACTTGTGGGCAAGAATTAGTTCCAACAAGATCAAAGAACTGACATAGGTTTCCTACCACGACCACATGAGGGTGCATCTGTAAACATCTAGATTGTTGTGCCAGAGGATATGAGGAGTTGAGTGCTSTTACATCCAGGGAACCCTCTGAATACAGGGTTTGAAAACAAACAAATTAAAACTGTTGGTTTTTTTTCCTCCTGCTAGTAAGAATAGGTTATAAAAGCTATTTTCACTTTTCAAATTGTGTTTTAGGCCTCTGGGGTRATGATATTAAAATAGATGTTTATTGAATACCTACTCATAAATCACAGCTTTTTTGATCTTAATAGGAGGAGGCAATTTATACAGACACTTTTGCTAAGACCAATTGTTATCTATAACCCAGATACTTCATCAGTTTTTATTCCCAGAAAATCTTGGTTTCTATTTTCTGTAAAAATAAAATTTGAGGAGTGGTTAGGTATTATAGACCTGTACAATAATCTCTTCTTTCAAATGTTAACGAGATTTCTTCTCCGCATCACTTCAGCATTTCTTTTTATTTTGGGGGGAGGAAATACAGGCTGCTCACAGTGGGGAAGATTTAAAAAAAAAAAAAAAAAAAAAAAGCCCACACTATATGTGTAGAGGGGCTGTAAGGTAGGAGTGTAGTGAGACTTCTGTAGCAGTCACCCACAGTCTCCCCAGCGTTGGCTTTTGAGAAGTCAGATTGCAATTGCTGTTCCCAGTTAGGAAACTTCTGTAGGGGAGGGGGTGAGAATGCGACTGTCTCACTAGAGGGAGAAAATACCCTACATGTGGGACTTAATTTTGTTTTTACTTTTTTTTTCTTTAATTATTTTTCAACGCCTTTTTCTGTCAAGTTCYGGAAATGCTGCAGGTTTAGTCACATTTACTCTTCTGTTTTTGTGCTTTTGTTTCCTTCTTTTCCCACCCCTTTCCTGCTTGCAGCACTACCCAAGGAATACCAGAAGATAGGAAAAGCACTGCAGAGCTTGGCACTGGTCTTCAGCACTAGTGGATACCAAGGTATTTCTTTATCCTCATTTGTGCTTTCCTTAACAAAAAAAAAATCAATTAGATTATGCTATTTTTTTTTGCCAAATATCTTTATGCTTTGCTCTTTGAATTTTAATATCTTTACCATGTCAGTCTGTTTCTGATAAAATATTACAGCCTACTTTTCCCATGTGTATTGCAAGGCCTGGGCTTTTTGATTATTTATTTTCTGTTCTGCAACCTTATTTACACTTACTGTACAGTTGTGTGTGGCTTGGGGAGGGGAGTAGGTGTTTGGTTTGATGTCATTCATTTATAATCTGGTCACTGGCCCGACTAACAAAATACACTGCAACATCTTCTCATGACTTATATGTCTATGTGACATCAAAGAGGTAGGGAAGAAAAAYGCAGTCTTGAAAATATCTACCACCCAAAACTGTTGTGTGACTTATGTGGAGTTGCTGTTTCATGAAATCAGGAGGGAAACCCTATTAAAGACTTTTATGTACCATTATTAGAGATGGAGGGCTCTTGGCTGGAGGGTGGCTTTTGTCATTCACCTTTTCTTCTCCTTTGAGAGCCCTAAAAGATTGGGACTTATGATGTTGGGTGTGAAAGCCAGAGGGAGGGGAAGGGAATCGATGCCATTTCTTTTTGTAGACTTCATGTTCTCCTAAAATGTAGTGTTTAAGCCAAACTTTCCCTGTATTGATATGCTAAATCCTGCTAATACACTTTCCAAGTAATTGGAAAGCATTTTCTATCAGGTCCATTTTCTCCAGAATCGTTAAGCCACATATTTCCCCCCAAGAGCTGGATTGCTCTGTTGCAAAACCTTCATTATTGCAGCACAGAGATTTCCTGAAGTCTTTTTGTCTTAGGCTATTTAGTTGACTGGCACTTACTTTACTTACTAATTGATCACTTTGTACTTTTAAAACTTATTTTTTGACCTGTAAGGCATGTATTAAAAAGCTAGTTTTGAACTTGGGGATCTCTGCTGCTTGGGTATACTCTCTGTAGCTTTTTCTCCCTCTCCTGTTCTGTATTTCACAGGATGAATGCTTATTTAAAACCAGAGGCAGTGTCTTGCCTAAACTTTACTTTTTTGGTGTGGGAGATGAGCAGAGGCATTGCATAGTTATTTATTGTTATCATGAGACAGAGAACTGTAAACCCTAGCCAAATAAAGTCTGTAGAAATAGTTCTTGGGAAAGGATRGAAAATTATTTGAACTATAACACACATCTTTTACTAGAGTAAAGGAAAACAGTATGACTTAAAACTAGGATGCAAATTGGCAATTTGGCCTCATAAAGGAAAGCTTCATTTTAAATTCCAGCATCTTTGAATGGTATGAAAACTAGATCCCAAGATCCCTGATGGCAAGGCAGGGATGTTGCTGTTGTACTGGGTTGCACCCCAGTGTACTGCGGAGGATAACGTCATCTTTCCCCCGATAGCCTCTTTCCTGATCYCATTTATTTTGCTCTTTTTAATTTCACTGGTAGAGCAGGGTATTTTGGTCAGAATTAAGAAGATATTGTTGGGGTTTTAAGTTTTTTAAAGTTCAGTTCCCAGAAGAGAGAACCAGTGAAGTTTGTCTTGCTTTAAATGTCTTTGTCACTGTTGCCCTCAGTCTGCTGCCCAGCTGCTCACATGCAATTTCCTTTGATGGCTGTTTCAAAGTTTGAGCAGGTTCTGTGCAAGACACATAAGCCATCTGGATGTGAACCAGTAGGATGCAGCTTTGCTGTTCTCGGTAGCTAAAGAAGGTACTGGACCTATTCCTCTGAATGGAGAAGTATTAGCAAGGTTCTTGCTAATGCAGAAATTCCTCGATGCCACCAAAAACAGTCTGTCTTTTTAATGCTGCCTTCTTACCCTAATGAATATATGTGTAATGAATGTCTACTGCCTTCTTTCTTCATTTCCAGTTTAAAAAGTCAAAGGCTACATCAGTTAAGAAGCACTTAACTGACCAATTTGTGCTATTTCTCTTGCACTGTGGAATGAGCCTTATCAATTAGTTGTCACCCACAGTGCAWATAAGAAGTCTGTGCCTACTTTTTACAAAAGCAAGAGTATATATAAAGCTATTAATGATGCATTCAGAGGTTTCCTTTTAGCTTAGTCATAGGCCTATGTATTGTCTGATCCCTTTTAAGAACATCATCTCTGAAAATAAGATTCATGTCCAAAAACATATTCCAGAATACAGCTGGAAATGGTCTTGCAGCGTGATGCCCCTTGCTTATCTTCCTGCAGAGAATGATGCTCTGAGGCTAACACAGCCTTAAATATCAGAACTTTCCTCTTGCRGTGCCAAATCTGGGCAAGTCTTTCTTCTATATTAAGAAAGTCATTTCTATGGTATGCCATTCAACCACAGTGAGATCTCCAAATTCTGCATCACCCTTTAGGAATTTTCTTAAGTAGTTACATATGAGTTTCACTRTCCTGCCAGTTAAAGATCTGTCCAGCAGACAGATCTTGACTTCCAAGGTGCTCGTGTGTGACGTGTGACCCTTCTGAGGTGCACTTTTCCCCAAGAAAGAATTACTTGCTACAAGAAACCTGTGCTACATCAACCTTCATCTCTTCCACACTCCTGCGTTTTGTTAAAATCTGCTTTGGAGTAAAACAAACAAACAAACAAAACCCACCTCCCCACCACAACTCTAAATAAAATCTTTTTGGCATAAAATTTCTGCAGCCTTGGTCATTAGGGGATTCAGGATGCCTGACATGTTCCTTCAGGTGAAAGCTGGTTGATAAATGGCAGTGGTTAAACTACTAGGAAGTCCTGCTGAACATCTCCAAAGGACTGCTCATATTTTCACATCTTCCTTCATCTGCCCATGACATATTTTCCCTGCAGACTGTCTGCTCATAGTTGAGTAAAAACAGCTGCAGAAGGTTATTGGTAATTTTGACTGGTCTTTTTAGGAGTGTCTTTAATCAAGGCTTTTAAGGCCACTCTGCTTCTTTTGAGGAGATAGGTAATGGACTGTGCCCTTGTTTTGGTGTAAATATATCAGCAGCATGTGGTGCTTTCTGTTTTTCTGTTGATGAAGAAGGCCTCAACGTCCCGGTGTGCACTTGCATTGGGAACTTGTGCCCAGCTCAGCTGCCTTTGCTTGGGATAAGCAGCCCAGGTCTCCTGAAGCTGAGGCYGCTGGAGATGTGGTCGAATCAGCAAAGTTTCCTTGGAGTTTCTACTAGTAGCAGAACATTCTGCAGAATAAGAATGAGTAGAAACTCTGAATGCACCTAGTGCCTTCTACCAGCTGGCTCTGTTGAGGGACTCTGCTGTCCCCTACATGAGGGAGAACTAAGTTGGAAGGACTTGTCTGGATTGTTTTGCAGCTCCAATCTGTGAAAGTCCCTTGGATGAGTTCTGCAGAGGCAGAAGGATTTTCTTTTCACTCAAATCTAAAACTTTTGCCCTCTTTTGCTCAGATAGGAAAAGTAATTTTTGCTTATATGGTGTTATAAAATGAGCAGCAGCACCTAGACCAGYGTGACTTGTGAATCTAATTGAAGTCATGTAATGTTTTGTTGTAAAATCTAGGAAATTATCGAAGAGGCGGTTAGTTTAAACGCAGAGTTACTCCTGAGCAGACTTGCAGGACCAGAGTGCTTAAATAATGTAAAATAATGTAATTGATCTTCCTGAGGCTTCTTACAGCAGCAAGATCCGTTTTGAATTATGTACATCTTAAGCTCACAAAGTCAATGAGACTTCATATTAAAACTTTATATTATTTTAGCCAGAAACAGGAGGAAAAGAGCCATTTCTTTAACAATGTATTTATTGCTAAACTCACTAGCACTTAGTTTCAGTAGCTCTTCATCAAAGTTTTCAGCTTTGAAATCAGTCTAAGGGAAAGTAAGAGCTGATCTTGATTACTCAATCATTATTCTGTATTCTTTAGAAGGATTTAATTTCAGCCTGACCTGTCTATTAAATCTCTAACACAGATAACTTCTTATGTGGTGGTAAAAGAAACCCTTTTAATATTTAAGTTAATGATTAATAGGTTTGATAATTGGAATTGAATTCCTGATTAATATGACCATAGATTAAAAAAAAGTTTGCAAAATATTATAACTGCTAGCTAATATCAACACGTTTGAAAGGATTGAAAAAAAAATCCTTGGACTAACATTTAAAATTTGCAAGTTATACCTTCCCCCCTTTCTACCTCCACTTGCTTTCCCTACTCTTGACTACCTGCTTTGGAAAAGCTGCCAAGCATGGAAAGAAACTGGTGTTTTTAGAAGGTGAACTCTCATGAAAAACCGAGAATGTAAGACTTGTTTTCATCTTTGCTCTGTGTAGCCATGTCCTGCTGATAATAGCTCTTGTGCTGTGGTCTAATTGGGATTTGTGGTGATGTTTGTGCTTCTAGCTGTAGTTGGAGGACTCTTGATCTATTTTATTTTACATAGTGACGAAGATGAGAAATGGTCTCTCAGAAAGTCTCTGAGTCTCAGAGATGGTCTCTGAAAGTATCATTTAAGAGTTGTCTGAAGTGACAGAAATCTTGTTGACAAGGAGAAAAAAGTTGGGCCCTTTTTTCTCTCCCTCTGGCCTTTTAATAAACATGGTCCAGGACAGTTGGGATGCTTGGGGTTATCATCACTGCTGCAGGGGCACAGTGGAGGATATACTGTTCCTTAGGTGTGGATGTTGCTTAAAGATTGGAATGGCAGGTGCCTCTGCAGCTTTRTTAGTATGTCCTTTAGTGGGGTATCCTCTAGTGTCCCCTTCATTGTCCCCTTCCCCCTCCCARTTCTGGTGGGCTTCCTGTTGTCCTGTGTGTGGGAATAACTATTTAAAGTATGTAGATTAATTAAATGTGGAAGCAAAAAGTGCTAGTACTAAAGTAGAGCAGTGTTTAATTGGCTCCTCTAGCTTTTCTTTTCTCCAAGATCTCTTTTTTATGCTATATTACRTCTCTTTTCCAAATTCTCTATTGTTTTGGGGCATAAAATGATGTATAGAGTTTTATTATTGTAAAATTAGTATCTTTTTTTTTAATTTGGATGGAATCATGACTTGTCTGTGATTTATTTTAATTTGAGCACTCATGTTTATTTTTAGGAGAATCTGAGCTCAATGTAGCAATAACAGAAGCAGGAAAAACCTATGAGGAAATCGCCAGTCTTGTAGCAGAACAGGTAGATACCTTGTAATGTATCAACTTGCACAGTGTGTGCAAACCTCTCTCCTGTTTGCGTCACTTCTGACTTTCCCTTTTTTCCTTTTCTATTAAAATATAATAAATGCTAGAGCTGCAGATGACTTCAGTGAAATTACTATTAATATTTTAAATGTACCTTCAACCTCTCTTTTCKGCTACACGTCAGTTTCTGGGAGGTGATAGAAAATGGGAAAGTATTTTTCTTAAATAAGAAGATGTATTTTCTGGTTTCTTAAATATTAAAAAGCTATTTCCTCTTTAAATGTCATTGTTTTTTCATGTCAGTGGGCCATCTTTAATAAGGATGCAACAGAGTGAGATTTGATCAMGGATTTGATTTCTCTCTTCTCCCTACTTTATTCAAATGTCCACAGAATCCTGGAGAGTGTCCTGCTCTTCATTGCACACTGACAGGCAATTGTCTGCTTCAATAACTTCAGTTTCTSTAATCCATCTTGAAGAATTTGTCTGTTGTCAAGTCATAAACTTGTGTTTACAGCCTGAAGTTATCCAAAACGAAGCATCCAAAACACAGAGTATCTTGATTTCAATGTTGAATCTGTAAATTATTTTTAAAATGACTTTCCAAATTGGCAAGTAAGGAGATGCATCTGTGCTCAGGCACATCTGTGTGTGATGAGATGGGAGCTTAATAGCCATTACTGTAGCTAGGAGCTCTRCTTCAGTGGAAATTAGAGACAAACCCCCTGACTTCATAGCCAATACTGAGTACCACAGACCCAGGGCATCTGCTCAGTGTCTTTCTCCAGAGAGCTTTTAATTTTTTTACAGGGTCTGTACTTGCCTACCCTTGTATTTTACAAATAATGGCAAGATTTTTTCCTCTGTGAGCACAGCCAGGCTTAATGCTTCATCTTGATGCTGTTCTCAGAATCCTTTAACTCTCCCCTTTACCTCGAGGTATTTTTTTTAAACAGGCAAACACCTGTTTAGATATGGAAAGCGTTGACAAGCAGTTGAATTTTTGTTTGGATTTTTTTTCTCTTTCTTCTCTGCCTTTTTTCTGCGTCTGTGATACTAATATGCCACAGAATTTTTTAATAATGTTGCATTTTTGTTTATTAGCCAAAGAAAGATCTTCACTTTCTGATGGAAACAAATCATGAATATAAGGGATTTCTTGGTTGCTTCCCGGACATCATAGGAGCTCATAAGGTAAGTGTGTGTGGGAAGAGGCCTTCCTTAGTAAGGAAGGCAATAGCAAGACCTACAGATCATAGAACAGAAGTGTGGGATGTTACTCTGCATGTGCACAGAAGCCTGGTTGCTGCTGCCAGTAGCATGCAAAGCTTCTGTGAAGATTTTGTTTGGTTTTTTTATTGTTTTAATTAAATACTTAGGAGAGGGAAAGAATTCATCTTAGACTTGAAAATAATACGGTTTGCTGCTGTAACAGAGCACTAGAAGCTCCAGAGTTTTCTTTGAGGCAACTTCACATCCCTAAATGGTGAATAGCAGTAGTATCGATTTACAACATTGATGAATTTCGTATGGACACTAAAGCATATCAATACGGCAGGAAAAAAGCCTGCATTTAAGTAGATGACTTACCAGTATGTACTGGTATGTATGTATCCAGCCATGCTCTGACCGTTTGTTTCTTTAATCCATAAAAATAGAGCAAGAGGGCTAAGTGAGCCAAAAAAGTGCTCTGTAACATAATTTAACCATTCTTAGTTTTGCGTGTTCTGTTTTTCTCTGTTTCTCATAGAATTGTCCACATGTTTATGAGACAGATATTACTTGCTTCAGAAGTTAAAATTTTGACTATTTATCAAGAACACAAGTGTTTTTCGACCACTTGGAATGTTAAATGTAAAATGAATGCTCTTGATTGCTACAAGACTAGCAAAGAGCTATAAAAACCATTTCTGGTTTATGGCTATTCCAGAAACGTAATTCTTCTGSATATTTAAGATACCCAACCCCACAGAATACTTGGAAAAAATAGTATAAAAAAATGCAGAAGAAATGTTTTTAATACCTGAAGTATCAGTCTATAGAAAGAGACATGTAGATTGTCTTGAATATGCATGTTACARAAAGGAAAGTGTGTTGCAAATATATTGTGAAGAGGGAAGGAGTTTTATTTGTTTTTTATTATTATTTTATTTTGTTGTTTGTTTTTAATTTTTGATCTGGGAGAACCCTTGGATCACAGATATCCCAGTGAATGGGGAGCCTTTTGGGAAAAGTATTTTGCCCACAAGCTGTAGAATGCACAAGTAGGATTCTGTGGATATTGGTAGATTGAGGCTTGTGGATGTCTATTATTTTACAGCCAATTATATTTTGAAAATCGTCCCTTTTTACGTCTTATAAATATCCCTGTTACTCTCTCCAGCAAACTCAAGTTTCTGACTGAGCTCGTGTCTTGTTTGTAAGTCACTTCTTGCAGGCTGTTTGCACTCTCAACAAACTTCAGGTGCAAATGCCAGAAGGCAGAATGAGCTGTTGTGTGTGTATAGTGTGCAAGCCCAAAATGTGGCTAGCAGCCTTGAGGATGCTAAATTCTTTAAATTAACTGCTTTTTTAATCTTTCTGTATTTTGGTTTCTACAGGGAGCAATAGAAAAAGTGAAGGAAAGCGACAAGTTAGTCGCGACCAGTAAAATCACGCCACAAGACAAGCAGAACATGGTGAAACGTGTGAGCACCATGGCCTATGCACTACAAGGTAAAACAGGCTAACTGACAATAGTGCAGACATCTCAAAGACAACTCTTAGGTAACAAACTTTGCTGTACCAGGAGCAACAGTGAGAGTTAGTTGTTTTTCCTTTTTTTAATTTTTTTTTATTTTCCACCCTTTGTGTTTTCCTCTAAAATTATAGGTATTTTACCTGTTATTATTTTCAGATCTCATAGTTTTTTATTTTGGAAACAGAATTTATAAAAAGAAAAAGAACAACCTCAGACAACTTTTTTTTTTTTTTTTTTTTTTTTTTCATTTTCAAATGTCATTGTCTCTCAAACAAAGAGCTTGGGCCCAGATGCAAGAAGCAGGTCAGCACTTGCACAAGTACTTTACTGATTCATGGCTTAGACAAAATCCAGCTGAGGTTTATAGTCTTGTGGATACAACTTGATTTACTGGATGTTTCTTGAATGTCACTCAGATTTTTGTTCTTTGTTGGAAATATTGCAAGCACAACATGTAGCACAGGGGACATGAACTGGGAAAGTAAGGAGCTAGGGTTTGTCCTGCAGGATGCAAAGTCTTTTCCTTAAAAAAAAAAAAAAAAACCCCTATGGGTATGTCAAAGGCAAAATATATATATATATATATATATATATATATATATATATATATATATATATATTTCTTACTGAAAAAGGGAAGGTTCTTACTGAAAAACTCAGTCAAGAATGGGTGCACGTTCATGTGCTACATGTGCTGCCTTTGAGCCAATTACTAGTATTTGTGCCTTGCAACTTAATGTCTTCCAAATCTGACTGCCTCAGCTAAATTTTCTTTGAAAAACTTGAGAAAAGTATTGCTACTTCAATAGGACAAAATCATGATGGTTTTCCTTGTTCAAATCATCTTACTCTTGAATACTACATCAATGTATGTACTTTATCCAAGAAGTGCCCACGTTTTGTCARTATGTAAAGGACACTCTATTGGTTTTGCAAACAGTTCCATCCTAGATGGGTGCTGTGAGCAGAAGGGGTTGTGCAAATGTGAAAATAGTAACTGCACTGAGAGGGCTGAGCGCTGAGCTTATTTACACAGTAACTAACCTGAGCTGAGTGAAACTGTTCTGAATTACAAACACTTCTCAAAAATAATTTGCCTTCTGGGTCTCATTACAGCTGAGATGAATCACTTCCACAGTAACCGGATTTATGACTACAACAGTGTCATTAGCCTGTATCTGGAGCAGCAGGCACAGTTCTATGAAACGGTAAGCTGCAACATTTCAGTGCCACTTCCTTGGCACGTGCTGCACGGCTGCATTCATGGCATAYGAAAGGCTGTCTGCACCTACTCAGCATTTTGTATGAGCCTGTCGTTGAGAGCAGGTATTTGAAGAGGAATTGTACGCGTTAAAAAGAAAAACAACTCCATCCTCCTGACAACAAAGGAGTTGAAATAACTTTTTCCTGTAGGTACTGTTTTGTGCTGTGACATTCTGTCGTATTAGACCTAAAAGCAGTTTTGAGAAATACTGTTGTTAATTGAAAGCATAAYTAGTACAGAGATCAGATCTGCACTCGCACATGAGGTGTGTCAAAGGAACATTGGTGCAAGTCCCCATCTTCTATCATAAAATCTGCCTCCTCACCATCCTAGTAACTTTTAAGATTTTCCAGCAACACAACTGACATTACATAACCCCATAAAATATTTAAAAAACCCCATTATATACCTTTTCCATTTGGTCTGAATTCATGATTTGAAAAATTCGTCCAATAGAGAAGAGGGTTATGAAAGCTGTATGTTGAACATCCGTGGAACAACTTATTTTTCTTGATTTTATTCCTTCTCCCTCTACATTCTAAAAGAGTGGAGTAGAACACTGTTAATAGGAATGAACGTGTGGCACCAAAAGGGACAGAGATTAGATTTTTATCTTCTTTAAAATATTCTAAAAGAAAATGACTACCTGATTCAAGATGGATCCTTTCTTGGGTGCTTGTGTTGTACACGAAGTTACGTTAGAAGAATGTCTGATGTCCCAGCATGTGCAGCAGCCACAGAGAATGCATACAGGCCCTCTGTGTAGTAACTGTGCTTCTGCTCCTGGATCAAGTAATCCCTTTCTAGGTTTTTTCCTTTGTGCTTTTGTTCCATGATTCTGCTAGAATGGATTATCTGAGTAGTGTTAGTGAAATGACATGAAGAAGGGCATAGTTTACACCTTGGATGAGATTTGGAGGGGGAGAAAAACGATCTGTCAGCTCAATTGTTTTCATGCCTGGATCTTTCAGGTATTGTGGACTAGAATATCTGTAGGAAAACATACGGAATCATTATGATGGTGAGTTGCAGCTTGAGGGACTCTGGTAGCATAAAGAACCACACCAAAGACATTGGAACATTTTTCAGTCCTTGCCAGTCAAGATGTKGATGAGCAGATGTTTCTCCTCAGCAGATAGGTGTCTGCCAAGACCAAGGCCATGCCTTRCTGCTGCCTAAGCAGTACTTTTGGTGACAGGGCTGACAGTTTTAAAAATCTGTTYGAGTCTGTGAAGAAAGTACCAACAGGTGAGGCTGAGGTGCGCTGACTGCGCGGGACTCCTGGCCTTGGGGACCTCATTGCATCTGCTGTTGATAGAGCCCCTGAAGGTGCCGTGCCGTCAGCAATCTGTGTGTCAGTGACGCAGAGGAAGCRCTCTTCCAGTTTCCTGAAGATGAGGGAATATTCTTTTAGTCTTTCAACCTGGACTCTTACCTCTGTATGCTTCCTGTGACTAACGGCCTCTGTTTGCTTGTTTCAGATTGCACAGAAGCTGAGGCAGGCACTCAGCCGCTTTCCCGTCATGTAGAGACTAAGGAGCAGCCAGCAGTGAAGAACAACTCCCAAGTGCTTTTCCGATTTGGGGGCAATGCCAATACAAACTGGTTAGCCTTTGCCAGCCAAAAATGAACCAAAAAAAAATCAGTTGCAAAAAAAAGAAATGATTTATGATGTTTACCTTATCAGCCTAAATCCATCAGATATTTAGGTTCTTTTTATCCTGAATGCTCTCCCCTTTGTATCGTTATTTAATAAAAGCAGCTAAATAATGCTGCCAGTTGTTGGGATCCAAATAATYAAATTAATGTGTTGCCATGGTCTACTTGTTGATTTGCGTCTATCAGATGTTCTTCCAAATACTCTTCATCGGAATTATGGTTTTTTTTTTTTTTTTAAGTGGGAAAGCAAACAAGCTTGAAAAACTGACTTTGTATTAATTCTCCTTGTATGCAGTTCAGCTCTCTGCTGGCAATTCTGTAGCYAGGAGGGGTTATATTCATGTATGTTTCTGGTGCATATTCATCATAATCTGAACAAACATTTTGTTTTAGAAGTTTTGCTTCCCATGCGCAGCCATGGCATACCATTCTCATTATGACTTCTGGTAAACACTTATTCACTTTTCCCTTCATGAGTAAAATCTTGTGTTCTTGTGGCCCAGAGCCACAGAGCTCGTGTCAGGCTCTCTCTCTTCCTCACTATGCACTGTGCAAAAGATAAGTACAAACAAGGAAAGAGCCATTCWGGAAGGTGTGAAAGACAAGTTTTCCCTACCASCATTTTGATCCCTCTAAATATTATRCCATAAGGCACTAGTGCTGTACAAGAGCAGCTTCCCTTTTATGGCTTCAGGAGTTYGGAGTTTTTCAGCAAAGGGGACACTAGGTCACATTGAACCCAAACTGGTAAAAGTACCGGAATTCCAGTTGAGCTCAAGTCTTCACAAAGCCATATGCTGTGCTATGGGCTTGGGCTTACGTTCTGTTAATTTCTAATGCAAACTGAAAGGTGACAGAGATACGGAATAATATCACTGGGTATCACACAAACCTCTCTGCTTTGTTTACCATATTTTAATGTGTGGCCCTTGATGTCATCTTCCTTCTTCCTATAATGTCATTTGAAGCCTAGGCTTAAAAATTAAAAAGCAAAAGAAACCAAAACAACTGTTCAAAGTGGGTACCAACTACAGTAATTCACTCAATGCCATAAGCAAGCTGAAAAGCCAAAATGCTGGTTTTGCTAAAGTATATCTAGCACATAAACATTTTAGCAAACCAACAAACAAACGGAAAGGCATTTTACCCACAAGCCGTTCTATGTAATCGGTACAGCCTGGCTGAATAGTTGCCTTATTCTGTTTTGCATCGATGTTATTTGTGTCCCAGAAGAAAAATCTGGGTCTGCCTGAATTACCTGAAACCAAAATCAGATGAAGCCTAAGTCTAGATGCTTTTCAGTGTCACGGGTTTTGTTCACGTTTTATAAGCCTTGTCTTTTTCTTTCCTCCTCCCAGTTTTAGTTATTTGCTTTCAAAATTCCATAGTGCAGTGTTGTTTGATACAGCCATTTAAATATGTACAAATTGTAAAGATTGTGTATAAATGTTTTACACCAAATGTAAGATCTGCCTGCATGTAGAAGCAGCTTATATAATAAATTGTTACAATATGTACAGTAAATTCTGAATTCAATTTTTTCAAGCAGCAATTTTTCAGCATTTTTATATGCACTTTTTGGTAAAGAAATGTCTTTGTAACCGATTCGTAACTTGGGGGAGGGAAGGGAGGTCTTTTTACCAATCTCTGAACAGCTCTGTATGCACTAAAGTTGAAGATGCTTGTTCCTGAAGAGACTGTTTTGGAATCCGAGTGTGAGCTGTGCGTCTCCAGTGCAAGGAAGCTGTGATCTTAGCAACTCTGTCAGAGACTCAACACTTCTTTTTGGCAAAAAGCAAAACTGTTTAAGGACTTCTAGGAAAATGAATTTAAACTGATAATAAATATTTATGTACCTCTACGAGGCTATTTTTTTCTTTAAAAATACCACATTGCTTTTTAACAGGACGATGCAGTTGGGGGCTGTGCCCCTTGCAGCACTTCAGCAGCTCGCGCACCTTGGCCAGCTGAGGAATAAGGAGGTCTCTGAGCATCTTCCACGAAGCAGCGTCAGAACCTAACGGGGTAACAGTGTCAGTGACCGCAGGACCACGACGAAGGGTATAAGCCCCTTGTTTAGGTCAGTCCATCGTGTGGCTGCTGGAACCCTTCTTTCTGCAAAGAAGTAGAGCACAGGACTGCTGTGCATTCACGGGTCTGCATTAGCGCGGTGCTAACCCAGAATAGAAATTAGGTTGTCTCCTTCCTCCTCTTTTCTTCCTCTCCRCTGAGGTACATTGATCTTGGCATAGGTAGGTTGGGCACGTGGGAAGCTATAGAAAATCTTTGCACTGGAGATGCAGTCATGAAACAAGAATAGCAAGTTTCAGTAGGACTTGAGCAGTTTCCCTCCTGTATTTTGTGTTAGCTGAATAATTAATCCCTGGAAATTAGGCTTTGAAAAACATTAAAGCTTCTTCCTTGTCCCATCATAATTTTTGTCAAAGGTGAGGTATATCCAAACAGTGACCTTATTCCATAGCTTTTATGAACTAAATTAAGTGTGTTTTGGATTAAGTTTTATAGTTCAGTGGCCAGTTACTACCCAAATAGTCRTTTTTTTTTCAACTATCAAGAAGGAGCAGTACAAAGGGAAGTACTACCTGTTTTTCTTGTCTACAGGGACATATGCTACGTTAGTCTGCAACAGCAGATTTCACTTTTGTGACTTTTTTGGGGTGGGGGGGAGAGTGCAATTGGATCTAGTACAATTACATTATTCTTTGCTATCTTAAAGCCTAGCTATGCCTGAGCACTGAAGTTTTCAGGATATTGCGTGGCTTCTGCTTTCTGTGACATAGTTCTTGAGCATATTACCCTTTAGTCTRTAAATTCAGATGAGATGATACACGCCAGTTGTGCTGCTACTGCGACTAGTTTTGTTGTAGGGCAGCAAGCTAAGTGAGGCTGGCAGCCGCGAGGAGCCGCGGTCTGTGGGAGGCCGGCCACGTTTAGCGCGGGCCGGAGCGCCGGCACAGGGCCGAGCGGCTGCGGGGCAGGGTCAACGCGCAGCAGCAGCGGGAAGCTCCGCGCGCATGTGGAGCTCACAAGGGGCAGCGGGGACAGCGAGGGAAGCCCGGGGGCTCCAGAGTCACAGCCACAGTTCTGCTTTCCCCTTCTCGGTGGTTTTCTGCAACTTCTTTTGTACGATAAACACGGCTAACGCTGATGCATTCCCGAATGAGAACTGTACTTCTTCACTTTGCAGTAGATTCACACTGCTGACCACTACTTACATTATTAACTCATGTGTTTTGTTGTATATATCTAGCTTGGCTAGTTATTTTCATATGGTGTTTGAACGCCACACATAGAAACACACACATAGAGCTACACACACAGAGCTTTCTATGTATCTGTAACAAATAAAATGTAGTTACATTCACATTACCTTCAGAACMCTACTTTCAACTTAAAATAATGCTCATTTCTGTCATTGTATTTACAACTCTGACCAAGTTAGTGTTACTTGTTTTCTTCTCTTTTTAGTCAACTTCAATATGGCATTATCTGCCTACCTACTGCATGCCTTCTACGTAACCATCAGACTTGGAATACATTCCCTTAGACTTCTTACGAGATTTGAATGTGGGATACTGACAAAATCATTACTGAAAACTTTCGCATTGTCCCTGTATGTCCCCTGCTATTAGTTAGACTGATCTACTAGTCAAAGTAGGATATTTTGTTGTTTATGTGGATTCTTCTCAGCAAATCAGCATTATCATTTTTTTACCATTTTTTCTTGATTTCTTTGAGCCAGGTAGCAATAATCTGAACCCAGCTGTCTTATGTTTACCATATGTTATTCTTTCTTTATTCTGTCCTGTGACTGTGTTCTCTTAAAATACCATYACAATAAGTAAGTCACAGGCTTATTTATTTATATTTACTTATTAGTCACAGTCAATTCACTTTTTTAAATTACATGCTAATGAACTTACTTTGTCTTAGCAAACACTTATCAAATGACAGTCACCTTTAATTCGTACTGCTTTTCCTTGTCACTGAATTTCAGTTGACCCAAATCTAAAATTGTTACTCCCTACTAGTTTATCTTGTGACATATGTCTGTCTCCCAGTAATTTATAAACTGATATTCCCAAGAGAGTTTTTCTGGACATATATGATAGAGGAGACTTAACATAATGCAGGAAGTTGATAGCATCAGAAAGTTAAAATATCATCAGAATAGTGACAAAATGGCAGGCTTGCAGAAATTGTAGAAAAATACTGGAGACTTTTCAAGTATTGAAAAATTGGGTTTATTTTCAATTGTACCTTAGTTATAACCTCAGTTGTTAATCTGTTCCCAAAGATACTTTTCAAGAGAGAAGAGGGAAAGTAAGCAAAAAGTACAGGTGTGTACATGTGTATCACACCTATAGATAGGAATGTGCCATGTTGGTGCCTCCTGACAAATGCTGAGCCAGTCCAAATGGGCTAACAAGCCTGGGCAGGGAGTCCAGCAAGGAAAGGGGTCAAACTGAGAAACACACGGAGGTTACTTAACCATTTAACAGAATCAATAAAGGGAAAGGGAGGAGGGAGGTTTATAAAGCAGCATTTGTCATTAGCCAGCTCAGAAGAGGCTTGGCCGGGAGACAAGGGGAGCATTGCCTGAAGAGCTTGAAAAGACACAGGGAGTCTGGAAGTCTGAAAAGAAGTTGTTCTTTGGAGTTTTTAATTAATTTTCAGGAAATCCTGAAAAGATTCGCCTTAAGCCGGAAGCAGTGAAAGAAGAGTCTCCATTGAGGTTTTGTTTAGCTCTGTGGGCGCCTGCTAAAAATAGCTGCATCTGTAACCTGTGCCCGCTGTCGGTCATGATAGTTGAGGAGAACTCCCCGACTCCACCGTGCAGGGCTACCTAGAGAGGAGGTGCTGAAGCTGCTGGAGATGAAGAGTCCTGGGCTGGGCGCAGGGGGTCTGTGTGGCCCGTTTACCAGACAGGAGACCAGCAGCCTCGGCACGTGGCACCGAGCGAGGGCAGGAAGAGCCACGCACAGCACCTGCTCCAAGTGGGTCGGGAGCGCTGGGAGCACCCGGCCCAGGGCAACGTCCCCGCGCGCTTCCTCCAGCTCGGGAGCAAGGTCTCCCCTCACCTGAGGATGAACAGAGCAGCGTGAAGATGCCAGGTGAGCAAATTCCCACATCTGCCTTTTACGTCAGCTAATGGCTTTTCCTACAGGGTCCCTTGCAGGAAAAGTTACTGCAGGGAGGAGAATGAGGAGGGGAATGAGGAGGAAAGGGTGGACTTGCCTTTCACCTTGTGCWATCAAAGACCGCTGCTAAGATATGTGTTTTCTCTGTATCTCGCTGATAGGGAAACTGAGGGGAAAATAAATTAACACAGGACAGGAAGATTGGAGGGCTGAGAACAGAAACTAGCTATTAAATCTGAGGAAGGAATTTGATGCTGAAGCTCACCTAAATTGAAACTTGTAACCCCAGTCCCTGCCCCGTCTCCCCTCTTCAGTTGCTGCCTGGCTCCAGAGCTCCKGGTGGTTGCAATGGTAAAGTTCTCTTACAGGCAAGAATATCCTAAAAATTGCCTGTCATCATGCAGCTCCTGTAAGTGCACCTGCACTTATACAATGCCTCAATGGTTAATGAATTTGATAACAAATTTGGAGACTTGAAAATAACCAGGCAGCAGGCTGCACAGAACAGTAACTCTGAATAGCAATTTCTTAAACTTTCTGTGAGGATAAAGAGACTTAAAGCTAAAAACTGTATTTGTATTTTGATGGGCAAGCTTTTTATTTGTGATCAGTTCTAGTAGAATATGAAGAAAATCAGTTTGCTTTTTAAGACAAAAACAACAACAAAAAAAGAGACCATGGGATAAACATTACGATAATAGTATTTCTAAAGCTGAAGCTAAAAATATATGAGGCTTCTTTCTCATTT